ATAAAAACATATCAATAACCACACATGCTGGTAGGAACCTCAAAAAAATCATAAAAATAATCTTCAATATTCATGAAATATAAACAAATATCAATAATTCAATATGAAAGTATATCTATTCATCATAAAACTTATGCATTAGAAAAATGATGATAATTTTTGTATAATAAACAAAATCATGCATCAGCCACATGCAACATATATATAATAACAAAGGCGTACATCACCCAATGGTGCACTCTCCCAACAGCGGATGGAGAGGCATATTCCATAGGATGGATTCCTCCCAATATCGTATGGAGATAATTCATATCGCACTCTCAACAATGGATGGAGTGGTATTCCTCACCCGCCCAAGTGGGGACACGTTCCTCCCAACAACGGATGGAGGAACCGTCTAACCATCACGTCTGACGACCCGCTAATCCCCGAAGGGAATCGTCATACCTGCCCTCGGTAGGGATACATAAACATCCCCGATCATTCATTTACACTTATTCAATCACTCATGCATACATGATTAAATATTATGAGATATCATACTTGATGTAAATCTACTAGACTATATTCATTGGTGGCTTCGCACTATGATGGGACCATAGCTCCTTTCACAGGTTGCACTCCTAATGTGAACTACTAGTCTAGTCACATCTATTATATGATACTTATCATATCAATATCATAAGCATAGAAAACCAATAATTATTTTCAAACGACATATTCAGATAAAACCTTTAAATTCATCAAATCATAAAAGCATGAAACATCAATATCTTAATAGTCCTCAATCAATCAAAACCCTAATTAGAATAGCTCAATTGACTTAAACCAAACTCAATTCGATTATGATCTAACAGAACCAAAATCAAATCCTTATAGAACCGGTTTAGAATCACCCTAGACTAGTTTAATTTAGATTTGATTGATCTTGATTAGGTCAAATAAGTTTGAACTAGTCGAGTTAGTCTAGAATCACCCTAAACCGGCTTTAACTGATCAAACCTGTTTGATTTAGTCAATTAATGAGCTCAAACCAATAAAGAGGGAGGAAATTGGACTATGTTGTACAGCACTAACCCAAACCGAACCAACCCACCTAAGTCTTGAACGGGTCACATACACTGCATATACCTATTCCACATACATTGCATATACCTGTTCCAAGTACTAGATTGAGTTGAGGTACGATGGGCTATATAGGAGCGATGATATGCCTAATGTCAATTGCGTAGCTAGGCAAACTTAGCTTCATGAATTAGGCTAAGCCTCACTTATAAGTTGGGCTTAGCCTTACTATTTGAATTAGGCCTTACTTGACTCGCGAGTTAGTCTTAGACATATGAGTTGGAGTCGTATCTAACCACATAGATTGGGTCTAGCTGCATAAGCTAGCCAATGCACGACTATATGGTTGGGTCATATCTTACCATATGAGTTGGGTCATACACGACCACATCGTACCTAGCCACATGAGTTGGCCCGTGCCTAGCCACATGGTTGGCTCGTACCTTACCATATGGGCTGAGTCATACATGGACTAGATCGTACCTAGCCACATGGGTTAGGTCATGCTTGGCCACATGGATTTGGTCGTACCTTGTCATATAGGCTGGCTCTTATCCGACCACATAGGTTGGGTCATACCGAGTCATATGGGCTAGGTTGTACATGGTCACATGTGCTAGGTTGTACATGACCATATGGGTTAAGTCAATTCGATTTGATCGATCAACTTGATTCAAGTCAGACCCCAATTAGACTCCTCTTATCAAATTAGATTTCAACATTTAAAATTATTAAAGAATGACTCAAATCCATTAATAAAAATTTTAAATTCATAATCTTAAATTTAAAACTAATTAAATTCATCCATAATTCTTGAAACATAGATATATCCAATTAAATAACTTAAAACTATTATGCTAATTCAAAAATAAGAATTTTAATAACTAAATTAATATTAAAATTCAAGATCAATATTAATCAAATAATCATTCTAACATCACAAAATGATTATCATTATTTATTAATTATGAATTTCGAAATTAAAACATTAGTATGCATAAAAATTTACAACAATTCCAACATCAAGATTTCAAAATATAAATCCTATCTCTTTTCGATTAACCTTTCCTCGATATTATCTCCTCGGGAAGTCCTCTCCTCAATCCTCCCATTGTTAGGCTTAGTGAAGAATGAGGGAAGAGTAGCCCCTTTATATATATGAGAAGATGAGATCTCCCCGAAAGGTAAGTAATAATTTAATTTAATTTTTAATTTATTTCACTTTTGCTTTCACACAAAGAAAGTAATATAATATTTATTTCTTATAGTTCACACAAAAAAAGGAATGTAAACTATTTATTTCCTAAATATCAAATCACTCGTTAGTAAATTCCTAACTTATTCGTACGATTAAGAAAATCAAATTTAATTATTTCCTTAACTATAGTACACAGATACAGAAGTTAATAATAAAGTAATATATCATTCATAATAATTAATTGATGTGAATGGAGAAATTATTGATGATTACATTACAAGCTCTGAACGGTTGCACAACAAAGGGTCAAAATGATCCAGACCGAATTTCTCTTACAAGTGTCCACATGACACAACCTTTATTTACAAGCCTACAACGACCATCAAACCAACTGAAATGGGGTTTGATAGATTTTATTATTGATATTATCAAAATATAGATTTGACATCTATAGTATTGACTAATAGTAAATAAGATTTTTCTAATTGCATAAGAAAATCTAGTTATTTTATTAAGAGAAATCATCTCTCCTGTATAAATAGCGAAAACATATCAATAAACTTTAAGTAAAAAAATATAATGATATCGGAGGATATAGCAAAGAGTTGTCTATGACTTTTATTGTTAAGGTACTCATCATTATAAAGTTATTTTATTTAAAATTAAAAAAATAATGAGAAAGTAATATTTATTAAATAATCAATAAATGATGATCAAGCCAACGATGCCGGGTATCAATTAGAGCTGCAATTAAAAAAAATAGTAGACTAGATTATTTATAGAGTTAATGATCATTTATAAATGTTGTCGAGATATCTCCGTAAAATCCGAAAAGAATCAAAAAATAATAATTAAAGTAAAAATTCATAATCCATCTTAGAAAAAAAAATTTTGGAGTCGCCAGCATTTTATTTTTTTATAGAGGATTTTACACATAATCAAATATCACAGTAGCATTTGTGAAAAACCTCTTGACACGTTTCTACAAGCCAACAAGAAGATGGATGGACACGTACACCATCGTTAGCGGTGAAAATTCTGTCGCTTGCTCCACCTAAGTATCTTGCAGGAGAGACGGCTTGGCAGCGATGCCACAAACTCCCTTTCCCCTCCCTTCCCTTCCGGTAAACAGTAAATATTTCTGCATCAGTTTGCCGCTGCCTTGGAGGGATGCTTGTGTAGTTGCTTCCCCTTTGACTTGCATGTGGTGGAAAAGAACTTGCTTCCCCTTTGACTTGAGTTCTCGGTAGTTATTGACAGATTTTTACTAGTCTTTCGAATGCTTCGAGGACTCTAAACTGCTTTTGACTTGTCCAATTCTATTAAATAAACAGATTCTTTTATGTAACATAGTTTAGAACAACCTGTGAGTTGCTTCCTTATGCATGATCTTGAAGTTAATGCAGGTGGTCTGCAATACCCCGCACAACAGCCGAACAAGATTCTTTCTTTTCCGCAAGCGAGCATGGTTCTCCAATAGTTCAGTTTAGGGAACTCTCGTTCTGTATTCACCAAGAATATTGCTTTTCACCGCTGTCTAATCTCTCTCTTCATCTTTTTCCCACATTATTTCTCTGGTTTATGTTTTATTAGTTGTAACCTATGCTTAATTTTCACAGCCCGTAGCATAACAACAATCTCCTCATGCATCCAATTATTCTAGCTTGGAATTCCTTATACTGTTCGACCTTATCTTAATTAGTAATTAAGCAAACGATGATGTATATATATATAATTAATTGGTTAGTTAAGGAGAAAATGATAAATAATTAAGAAAGGCAAAACCAAATATAAAGAGAAAAGGTAAATTTTCTCTTATCGTTATTGTATAATTAAACAATCAAATGTTTATCTTTTCCTTAGGGCTTCAACGATAGATTGGTTGAAAGCTTGGAGTTGAGGTAAGTGGCTCGTCGATCAAAATAAATATTTTTAAAATAATAATTTTTTTTATTTTGAAATAGTTAAAATCTAGGGGAGCATTAGATTTAGTATGTATTTATTCATCTTAAAAAAGTATATGACATATGATATATCTATAAAAAAAGGAAATATAATAATATGTGAATATGAGGACATAAAGTATATGATAATTTAGAGTTTTTCTTTGTTCTTACAATTATTGATTTGATTGCATGAAATGCATATGCATTTTTTTAATACTTTTCACACATGCTATTATTATTATTATTATTACAGTATGAATAGTTATAATGAGTTTAAATCCTTGTTTATTTACCGTATATTTTATTTAAATACTCTCCCCACTCCTCCATTTCCATCGGTAATTCATCAGAAGATATATGATTGATCTAATAAGATAAGATATACATCTAGCACTCGATGTGTCAAGAATGATTATATGATAAAGTTCTATTGAAATTAATTATTTTTAAATAAAAAATATGACTTTGGATATATGAAATAGTTAGGTGATACTCATGTAATGTAATAAGCATTTATCTTTTTATTAAGTTAATCTTTTAAATACAAAGTTTGTTGTTTTATGCATAGATATAGTGCTTATTAGTTTTCACTTGCTTGCCACTGAATTATATTAATTATAAATAAATAAATCATAGTCAAACTTAACTAATCTAGCTTGTCACCATCCGATGGATTTTTATCACATCTCGGATTTCGAGACGTGACAGTTTGTGTGACCTCAGATTAAGCAAGGTTTAATCAATGGCATTTCTTTCGTGATTGACTCCAGAATTGACTTTTGGCAGTATCCTTCTGTACACTTTCTTGTATGCCTTCATCTACCTTCAACCATAAGAAAGCATGAACCGCTTCTGCTTACATGAAGTACACATGCACATCACGTAATGATTTGCCGTATTTTGCTCTGTCTACGTTAACACCTCTTCCAAAAGCTTAAACTTCCTAGCCCTGCATCTAAAGGCTTGGTTTTGTTTCCTCGAGCTCGGTAAGGGCAAGGCCAATCTCGATGTCTTAGTTAAAGCCGGCAGCAGCAACCTCTCGTGCGCACGCGTTTGCTGTTTCTTCACAGGCTTGTTGAGAACCTTCTTGAGGTGCTGTGAAGTTGCACCTCCATGCAGCTTTACTGTCAGACCTCGCCCGGTGCTATTAGTGGAGAAAGAGAGAGACCGGTCTTGATCCATGGTGGACTCTCGCGCAGCAGACTTGACTCCATCGTCACTCAAGCACCAGTTGCATGTGCTGTATCTCTCGAACTTTGGGTAGAGACTGCTGCAGTATCTGAAAGGAAAAAGGATCAAGAAAACATCAAGCTTCTCCGTCGTCATGGGGAGACCAAAGTATAAGATGAATCCACATTTCGTGTGTATGGGTGCTTGTAGTGCATGATACTGAAATGAGCTATATCGATAATCAAAACACGACACTCTTCTTACCTGTGTTGAAGCCTAAAATTGCAGACTTTGCACCGAAAAAGCTCTTCGGAGATCCCGGCATCACCACACATGCAGCACGCAAGTGACGCAGGCGGTGAAGAAGAAGCAGGACTTCCGTTCCTTCCCATTCTACTTTTCTTCTCTTCTTACTGCTCGGAATTAGAAGGCAAACACTAAAAGGATGATGACAACAGCGTGTGGAAGGAACTCCGACAACTTTGGATGGAAGTTGGGGAAGATGACAGTCTTTATAGTGTGCACAGGCTTCCGTGTGGAAAGGAATGAGAGAAGAGGGCGACATGAGAACGAAGATAAGGAATGTGGACTCGTTGAAGGAATGTGGTTGGAACTTTCTCTATTCCTTTAACGTGCAAGTCACTACAATGGATTGAACGCAAGACCGGGAGAAGTCGGTGTTCCGAGGAAGGAAACCAGGAAAGACCGCGTATGCCACGTCGGTTGTAGTATCGGTCAACGAAGATACGCTACGAAGTCAGTATCCTATCCCCGTGGGGTCTACTTAAGAGCGGAGTAGGACACACGGCGAATCAGGGGGATTGGCCTGTGACTCCGATGCTACAGCGAAGCATCAATCGAGACAGTCCACGCATCTCAAAGCGTGCACGTGGAGGCACGTCGTAATTTGAGATCCGTGCTTGGAGTAGCGGACGGCCGGATTTCCATTTTGCTCCATAAGTATATTGACCATGTCTAATTCTAACAAACGTATTGTGTTTCTTCGCGAGTAAAATGTTTATATTAATGCATAAAATATTGTTATTTTCTGTTGGGATCGGTTTGAATCAATCATAGTCATCATATCGAAATCTTAACAGTGCCTCTGTTCGATTTTTTGGGCGGCAGTTCTCATCGGTCAGTGGTCACAATAACTCCGCGTGGTCGACGTGGCTGACCTGCAAACATTAACTGTGGCATCATCACCTTCATGATAAAATCTGGACCGGTTGGAGCTGCACATTTATTCCGAATGCAATCACTGAGTGTTCATCGTAAATGCTGGGGCTTCATGGCCGAGGCATCCTACACTGCTCTGGTCCCTGCACCAGATCATAGATACTTGGGCGGCATCAACTGTTTGTCTTATTTCGACATGGGGAGATGGCCTGATGGGTGGTCATCGAGATCGATATTGTTTACAGCTATCTTCTTGTTATTGATGTCAAAGAAAACAGGCATTCAGAGAAAGGAGCTGCTCTTGTCCTTGCAGACTGGTCCTATAGGCTTGTGGTCTTCTTAATCCAGCTCAAGCTGTTTTGAGATGATGTCTGTCCATGGAAGGTCTTCTAGCACTTGAGATATGCACTAGATCAGTAGATTACTTAGTTTTAGAACAGAATGAGTATCCAGCATTTATGTATCAGTTTCCAGTAGCTTGCTGCACTGATAACACTTCAGAACAAGACAATGTTCTTCCAACAAAGAACATATAGGAAAGAAAAAAGAGAAAGAAGGATAGATTGGAAGTGTTTAGTTCCTTCCCAGTTCGCACCATCATCATCTTGGTTAATTAGTGACAGTAAAAAGCTAGTTTTCTCAACTACATTCAGCACTCTTCTTGTGAATGTCATACACCAACTGGTTAACCAGAGTTTTGTAGTTCATGGCCCTGGCTATTTTCTAGAGATAACCTGCAGAACTTGTGTCCACGGGCAAGTCCTTCAATGGAGCTGCCATTGAGATGTCAGATTAAATCTACCTAGTGAGTTTCCCATAGCTGGATTCGCCTCTGAGGTTCCTCAGAGAAATTAGTCTGTAGGATTCTTAACATATTATTTGCTTCCACTTTCCCTACTTCAGTAGTGCACATGAAACTTATACTCAGCTAATTTACCTCTGGAGCATGAAAAGTTGCCAATGGTAAAGATCAATCATAGCATATGAAAGAGACTGGTAATCACTTCCTGATGGTACAGTACATCAGAAAAGCCACCCTCTCAAAAAATAAGCCATACAACCTCTGCAGCTTCTCACCAAAGGCTGAAACATAAATGAGAGTGGTGGCAGACCAGTCTACTTGATTTCTGTGAAATCATTGTCGAAGAGGACACCTAAATCATAACAGTGTCACAAGAGAATAGTGGCTCGAGATTTTAAGCTCGTCCATCTACTGTAGAGAATCATAATGCATTCAACAAGATGTGGCTTGTGTTGAAGATAAGTACACGATGACCATAGTGCTCCTACATACCTACGTAAATATGTGCACAGATGATCTCAGTACAAAGTCCATGTCATTCATCCTTTCCGATAAATATATATTTTTTGCACTAGAAATGGAAATGTACACGAGTTTAACTTACAACTCTCTCAGTAGATCTGAGTCTGCACTAATAGGAGCTGATTACAAATGACAGAGATGCTTTGACAGAGTGAGGCCCAAAGAAAACAGACCAGCAGGGAATAATTCTGTCATCCTTTGGAATTGTCCCAAGATCTTAAACAAGAAACTGAAACTTCCAAGATGCTTCCTCCACAACTATGTATTAAATATTAGATTCTCTTCTGATTGAAAGCTTTCTATGTTGTCTCCATAAGGCTCTTTTCCAGCACTGGGAAGCAACTTCCAGAGTCCAATTTGACAAATAGTCAAACAAAAAAGATGGCAGACACAAGAAATGCAATATAACATTCATCAGTTCAATGTCAGTGATCATAAACTTGTTGTTTAGGAAACCACTTCTCTCCTCAATTATTGGGTGGTCTGTTTGATCACAAAGACAACCATTTTCATAATGTTTCCCATGAAAGAAAATTGACAAATTCCTTAAGGTAGGTAGCTGGCTCATAGTCTCCTCTGAGTTCATATTGACATCTGAAGTCTGATGATTGGCATGAATTACTGGTGGCACTACCTTTCCTCTTATTTGTGTTTCTGGTGAGTCATGCATGGCATCTTTTTCCTTTTCAAGGTCATGACTATCTTAAAACTCCCACTTAAGATGCCAGATTGTTAGTGTGATGGTAGCAGAACCTGACAAGCAGATAAGGAGTGGACACCAAGCTTCCTTCATTGCCTGCTCGGTTTCCTCCTCTTAGTAGCTGAAGAATTATGATGACTTGTTGCATGTGACTCGACAGTCAAATCATCATCCTTACAGCTCAAGCATACAGCACTTGACACACCAATTGAGCTTGGTGGCACAGAGGAAAATGATATGTTATCATTTCTTAGTGGTCTGGATCTCATCAATTCCATGTCCTTGATCACTTCACAGCATCTCAAGACTTTCTCCTGCAAGCCACAGTTCACCAAATTAAAAGCTCTCGTACATGAAAGCAGCTTCTCAGATGAAAGATACAAGAAAGTAATACTGGAAGCATGTAAACCTTGGCTACTTGGAGGCAACAAGACACCGCCTTCTCAACATCCACGGGTTGTCTCTCTCCTGAAACCAACAGCGTAATGGCTGCGGCAATTTCTGATGGTCTGAATGCTAAGAAATCAGCCCCTGCATCCCAAAAGCCTCAGCTTCAGCCATACAAATACCCTCTTTGGTAACAGATGCATCGATCAGGAATTCTACCTCTAACTGTGCTCAAAATGAGTTCCATCGATCGAGAGACCACCGTTTTAGTTGGCGCATTGCCACCGCTAAATTTATGGAGGAAGAAATCAATGAAAGAGAAAGGAGTCAGAGCTTGCATCCTCCATTTAAGGGTGCTCAGAACCAGGAGCTCCATTCTCTGGATAGTCTTGGCCTCAAACACATAGTTTGCCTCACCTACCTGTGGAAGAAAATACAGAGAAGTTCATAAAAGATTCAAAGAAATATGTTGAAGAACTCTTCTACTTTGAAGTCTTATCTACCTGAAAATCCAAGGACAAAGGGACTTCGGTTTCCTCCATTTTAGCAGCCAATGATAAGCAGGCCACAGATAGTAACTGTGTCATCCAAGCCTTGCCTTTCTATAATTAAAGGCAGAACAAGCGGAAGCAGATTCATTAGATGGCATCAAATGGCCTCACAATAAAAGCAGTCTGTACAATGCGTGCAGTCTTATCTAACCAAGGAAGATTAGATTGTTCTTACGGGTAGCTCATAGTTGGAGAGGAACCGATCCAAGTAATTTACAGCTAAATAGGCACTCAGTGGTCCAAAATTGTAGTGCGCATGAACCTGTTCAATGCATCGCAAATGCCATTAACCAGAATGGAGAGCACACAATTCAGATGGAAGAACAGGAACACAGAGCACAAGAAAGATCAACATCACCATCACTAGAAAAAAAGGTCATGCAGAACCAAAAGAAAATCTATCACAGGACCAAACTATTGAAGTCATGCGCATAACCAAAATCGAAGGCAGACGAGGGAAAATGGAGATAACGAGCCAAAAGATCGCAATAGATATCAGAGAAAAAAGAAAACATGAAAGATCTAAACACAATGCAAATCCAAAGCCCACTTGAATAATCATGGACCGACAGAAAAATGCACAGAACGTTATCATGGCATCGATGCAACAAAGCAAAACGAGTCCACAGCCAACAAAAAGCAAAAAAAGCAAATATTATGTTGATGTGAAACATCAAAAGGCAGCAGCATTTGGTTATACCATCTAAGGAGGTTATGGTTCTGAAAAGAAGGAAACTTGAGACCACAGAAACAAGAAGCCACCTTCAAAATCCGATCAATGGTATCTGTCCTTATGGACGAGTCCAATGCCCCATACCGCAACCTCTCAGCGTAGTCCTCCCTCGGCATATGCTCGGATTCCCTCTCGACCAAAGAGGCCAAGCACTCATCCGATTGCGGTGGTATATCCGTGAGGGGATCCCCATAAAAATTGCGCCTTTTATGTTCGGAAAGCAAACTAATCCTGAGCTCCTCTTCACAGTCACCATCATCTTCATCATCAAAGCCTAGGACGCAACTGTTGTCCTCAGCGCAGAGGAGGGCAGAGGAGGCATGGTCACAGCTTGGAACCATTGAGATATCAAAAGCGAAAGACAAAGGCAGCGGTAAAGATCGAAGCTTTCCTATAGAGAGAAGGTCCTTGAACTCCCTCCTCCCTCCTCATTCAAATGTGGCTCCTTTTCACCGAGAAAACGAGTTCAAATTTAGTAACAGTATCGGGAGAAGAAGTGGAGGAGGCGAGGTGGGAGAATGTAGGCACTTCTGCATAGAGACGAGGCAAGGTTAAAGCTTTATAAGCCAGTGGGTGAGGAGAGAGAAATGTCATAAAAACAATAGATAGATAAGGTGGA